GGAGGATGGGTTGAGAGGGTTCCATCCTGTTTTCTTTTACCTAGCCGTGCTGTTGTCCCTTTGCGTGCGCAACCATCCTGCTCCTCCTCTTGGTTCTTCTTCTTCTTGGCTTTTTCCGCCAGAGTCGTCAACCAGACACACACATCGAGTAGTGTGGTGTGGCCTTGAAACAAGATCTCGCGGCTTAAACCGTAACCTTCTTCTCTCCATAGACAGTGTTCGCTCAAATCCTTTGTCGCTTCACCAATGCATCGTCCGAATCCTAACTGCACCACGCACAAATTTGGGATGTGCTCCCCCTTGCTTACATTCAAAATCATAGAAGACGTATTTGACGTTGTCTCGTTGGATTTGGTTGTAGCATTCCTTCTCTTCCCCTCCTCCTCTTCATCGGGGGCTTCACAGAGGGGAGTCTTGTAACAGCGATAGTCTGGGGTCAAGGGTTATCGACACAGTAAGCAGGGACGTTCTTCATCTGAGCACTCATGGTGAAGCCATAGTGGTCTCCAAGACGTGGACCAGCTTAAAACGATTGTTAATCGATTGACAGGTGCTGGGTTTTCCCTCTGACGGTGCCTGGAGATGTTTGGTGTAACAGTGTTGATTTTGGAACCTGCATTGACATGTCAAGCAAGGGATCCCGTGCTCTTCATTGGGTCCACAATAGCTTGAGTGGAGGCAGCGATGGCACCGGTATTGCTTGGTGCAGGGATGGTGATCGGGATGATCATAACGTTGGTCGCAGAGTTCGCAGTAAATGACAGATGCATAAAAGGCTTGCATGGAAGTGATCACATCTTAGTGGTGATCATGATGGAATACATGCAGCACGGTGGCGTTGGGTGGAGCCTCATCACACTTGTACATCAGTCTCTGGTCCACCTTTTGACTGTAGACTTTCAGTTGATAGTTCATTTGGGCCAAGGCACGTCCCATGCGTGTTAGGTCATCCAGGCCCCGACAGGGACCTTCAGGAATGCCAAGGCGCCGAAACACGTCCCGTGCCCGTATGCCTTGAACGTCGACTTGATCCGTTCTCGTCAGTCTCTTTCTCTGGGTGGACCATTCTTGGCAAGAGGGGTTGGACTTCTGGGCATAATGCTGTGCCACCACAAGGGTCCTTACCAAACAAGATTGATCTTCGTTCTTGATCAGTACAATGCCTTGTTTGCGTTCTAAAAATGCTTCAAGTCCAACCATGTTTTTCAGACAGCCACTGCCTGATACTAGCCTGTCGGGAGCTGCCACATGTACTCAAGTCACAACCATGGTGGCATCGATGTTCAGGGCTTTGTTGGATTGTTGGACTTTTTCTATGGCATGCAAGATATCTACCCCATGGAGATCTTCAAAGCGACGAAAGGGAATCTGTGTGGGAATGTTTAAAGCGGGGTGATCGATACCTAGAATTTCCTATGAAAAAAACAAACACAAGGGTCAGGTCGGTTCGAAAAAAACGAGGCTCAGTCCAGGCACCGAAACGGATGAATCGGCGTGTGGCGTTTTGGACCAATCAAAACAGGGGCCCTTTTGATCCACTCTCAAAGTTGAAAAAAATTAATTGTGTTGTCTGCACACCTAAGAAAAACAAGATAAAAAAAAGCTACCCATCAGAAACTTGAGTTGTCGTCCAATCAGGAAGTAGGGTTTCAATATCTTCAAACCAATAGATGCTCTCTTGTCATCACTTTTCCAATGGAAAAAACACAACGGTCGGGGCGGTTTGGATAACGGACCAATCAGCGTGCAGCGTTTTGGTACCAATCAAAACAGTGAACATTTTGATCCGCTCCCTACACCACGTTCATATCTGTCCATGTAGGTTCACCTTTAGAAATTTAGGCATTCGTTCCACAACATGATCGTAGCACTAAGGTGATCGCCTGAGACGAACGACTGTCATCACGTCATAATACCCGATGATGTTGTTTGTGAAATTTTGTTGCAAGATCCTTCGGCGATACAAGGTTGCTGGGTCTTCGACAGTGATCTATCATCTCCACACGCAATCGACACATACCCTGCTTGTTTTGCCAACAAACAATCCAAAAATCCAAAAGAACCCACACACTCCCCAGTTCTCTTGGAGGCACACGCCTACGAGTGACACCACGCCTCTATGTATGTTTGTATGTATGTGTACACGCGAGTGGCATCATGTTTGCATGGAGACACGAGTCAAACACCACGTACGAGGGGATATCAAACAGTTTTGAGCCTCACACAGTATTCCTGGTCGAATGGTACAATGTGCTACCCCTGATGTACATGAATGTCTTAGCTACTGATACTATGTAGAAACATATTGCTGGCTGCAATTATTTTGTCACAACACTTCGTGAGAGACCTTCCCCCAGTGAATTGGCAAAATGGACACATCTGAAAAGTGGTGAAAAAGTTCCTTGTCCTAGAGGGTCAACCTGCAAAACAGGTGGAAGAGCGTTTGACTGCAGTTTATGGAGAGTCTTCCCCATCATCTGCAACTATCAAACGGTGGGTGAAGGAATTTCAGGGTGGCAGAGAGAACTCAGAAGATGATGCCCGGTTCGGACGGCCATCAACCAGTACCAGCCCTGAAAACATTGACACTGTACACAAACTAGTGATTGAAAACCGCCGTATTACTCTCCATGAGCTAGAAGAAACAACAGGCCTATCATATGGATCCATACATAATATAATTCATGGCAAACTCCACATGTCCGAAGTGTGTGCCAGATGGGTCCTGAGAATGCTTACAGATGACTTGAAGCTATCAAGGGTCACTATCAGTGGAACCTTGCTAACTCGGTATAACGCCAACCCAGATGATTTTCATTTTAGGATTGTAACCAGTGATGAAACCTGGGTTTATCGTTATGATCCGGAAAGCAAACAGGAGTCGATGGAATGGAAACACGCCACTTCTCCAAAGACAAATAAGTTCAAAGCCACCAGATTCACCAAGAAGGTTGTGATGACCATCTTCAGGGACAGCAAAGGAGTGATTCACATCGACTACCTGCCCCATGGCACCACAATGAATGGGGAGTATTACACCAAGTTATTGAAGCAGGTGCGCCAATCCATCAAGGTGAAACGCCGTGGAAAAATCCGTCGTGGGATTCTGCTTCACCAGGACAACGCACCAGTCTACATGAGCCGTGTTGCAATGACAGCTATGCAAGAATGTGGCTCCGAACTCCTCCCTCACCTACCCTATTCTCCAGACCTAGCCCCCAGTGACTTCAACCTCTTTCCCAGGCTGAAAAAACACCTCTGGGGCCGGAGATTTGAAGATGACGATGAGCTAACTTCTGCTGTGGAGGGTTGGTTAGGGGACCAGAATGTTGACTTCTACCAATCGGGCATCAGTGACTGGCAAACTAGGTGGAACAAGTGTGTGGAGTTGGGAGGGGACTATGTTGAAAAATAAAGTAGTAACCATCCTATTTTTTTACGTTTTCTGTGTCAGGCTCAAAACTTTGTGATATCCCCTCGTATGTCTATCGATCTCTCTCTATCCTTATAAATATATGTATGTACAAATATCATAAATAATCATATGTATAACCGTCTGTTTGAAAACATGCATGACACTACGTTTGCATGGAGACACGAAGTACATCACGTTTGCAAACGTCACGCATGTGTATCGATCTATACTTCTAGTAATGTCTGTTTGTAGTCACGCGTGGCACCACGTTTTGCATTGAGACACGCGTGACACCACGTTTGCATGGAGACACGAAGTACGTCACGTTTGCATGGAGACACGCATGACAGTACGCATGTAAACATACACGAGTGCCAACTCCTCGGCATGGATGAGCGAGTGACAACGTCATTATCATAATTATAAACGTCTGTTTGAAGACACGCGTGGCACCATGTTTACATGGAGAGACGTAGTACATCACATTTGCATTGAGACAAGTAGTACACTTTTTTGCGGTAGAAGGCGACTATGCTTGTCGTAAAAGGCGACTTACTGGATCGGGTGGTCAGGCTCGCTGACTTGGTTGATACATGTCATCGATCCCAATTGCATGGATCGATGTTCATAATATAAATCACTGGATTGTCTGGTCCAGACTCAATTATTTACAGACTGCCGTCATATACCTGGAATATTGCTGAGTGCCGCGTTAAACAACAAACCAACCAACCAACCTCAAAGTTTACCATCATGTCATAATACCCGATGATGTCATTTGTGGAATTTGTTGCAAGATCCTTCGCCGATGTGACGTCAACCTAGCAACAAAGTTGCTGCGTCATCGACTGTGTATAAGCTCGTCTCAGTGATCTCCAAACGTCATCGCCACACCAGTAAGTGTCCTGTCAGTAGACAGGTGGCAGGCTATCCGTGCTGTGCAACACAGCACCTATGTTGGTGAAGAGTTAGTCTCTCACGATCAAACGGCCCTTTTTAGGGCCACCCATCTCTCCCGAAAGAATGCTTTTCATCCTTTGCTTTGACTACCCTCTCATCACCCAACCACCAAAACAAAACAAAACCTCTTCTTCTTCTTCCCTCCTCCTCATTCCCCCTCCTCCCTCCCTCCCCTCCCCTCCGCCGCCGCCACCGCCATCTAAAAGGCGCCATGCCGCCCTCTTGGATGGGGAGATGGCCCCTCGGAAACGGACGTTTCTTAATGTCACCCATGACCAACAATGCTCTGCGCAGGTCACGTGACCAAACAGACCAATAAGAAGCCAGGAACGGTCCCAGAGTGATGCCACCAACTACTTAGATCAACTACCAGAGCTGAGAAACGTAATGTCATTCTCACAGCTTTACGCCAAAGGTTCACAACAGCAAGAGTATTCTCTCTCTTGTATCTGCAAATAGTTTGACATACTACCTTTTAAAATGGCGATCCTTAGCAAACTTTGAGTTGTATATTATAAGATGGAAATGAATGTAAAACATGGCTTGATACCTAAAGAATCATTATGGCATTATTATCACACTAGTTACTCTTATGTTATTAAGTCACATTTTTCTTCTGTTTCAGATGACAATGTTGTGATAAGATTCGCTTGAAAATGAACGGTTGTCCGAAGTATGGAATCAGGTATGTAAAAGTTTCAAATCTGAATATGATCCGTGAAGATCCAGGGTAGAAGATCGATCAAATTGCGTGGATCGATGATCATGTTGTCAATCACGGGATTGTTTGGTCCAGACTCGATTATTTACAGACCCCTGTAAATTACCATATAGCTGGAATATTGTTGAGTGCGGCGTTAAACAACAAACAAACAAACAAAATCGCGGTGCTGAGTTGCGTCCCTGGACACGCAAGAACCTATAATAGTGGGTTCGAAACCCTGGTTTGCCCCAATTATGTTTCTAGGTTTGTCAGCACCATACCCTTCCTCGTGGGGCAAACGTCTGAATAATTTCGGGCTTTCCTCCCACATTAAGCTGACGTCGTGATATAAACTGGAATACTGTTGAAAGCGGCATTGAACTCACCTCACTCAGTATATCATCTCAGCATCATGTTGAATCAGCTCATATATTTGCACAATTGTTTCTGTTCATTTCAGCATGTGGAGGCTGCGCTGAAGAAATAAAACTGAACAAATACACAGAAAAGAACTGGTTTGTGCTTCACGCCCGTGCATCTCTTATCAACCTACCAAAGGACCACATTAACAAAAGGGAGTGGAAGAAACACCGGGATCAGTTTATACTAAAGTACAAACAATATATATCAGCTCTGCGAAATAGTGGCGGAGGGATTGTATTTGTACACATACAAGATCTGGATCCCACAGATTGGTGCTTGGACCATTTCCATGAGCTTGTAGATGATCGGCTAAATCTGTTGATAGAAGATGGCAGTTTGTTTGTAAATACATACAGAAAAGACTGGTTCTCAGATGAAGGTGAAAATAAGGGAATCATAGTAACCATCGTTTCACCATCTGCGAGTGTTGTCACTGTCAGTTACAACACAAAACTACCTCTTGACGGAAGCATTGTTGACTCATCGTGTGCGACAATAACCGAGCTTCTACAACACCGTGAGAGGATTAGGGAATCAATACCAACTATCCGAGGATTAGACAGCATTAAATTGCGTGAGAGCAGAAACATTCAGGTGAAAACTATTTTGGCAAATTCTGTCAACTTTGATGACATTGATACTGTTACTAATTACATTTGGAAGGATCTTAAACTAGGATTCTATGTGAGTGCTTTTACCAAACTCGAAAGCGGGGGTTCATTTTATGTTGGAATTGAAGAAAAACCAAAGTCGTATGGCAATTACATATCAAAGTGCCTGAACATCACTGGTTTTGAATGTATGTTCTCCAGAGAAACATTCATAGATCGCTTAAAAGAGAAAGCTCAGGGTGAAACACTCATTCTTGCTGATACTGACATCGTTGTAAAAACAGACCTTATTGATGCAGTATTCCATCAAATGGACGATGAACAAAACACCTATGTTCTCGAAGTAGCAGTGGCAGCTGTTCAGGGACTGGTGTTTTATGACAGAAACGGACCAGAGGCATATGAACTTGGTGAAAATGGTGGCATCACGCGGATAGACACAAAGAGCTGGCGGAGACGTATTTTGAAAAATCTCATCGCAACATCTTAAATGTGGACATGGATACGCACTTGTAAGTACCATGTAATAATTAAGACGTTCCTGAGAGCAAGCAAATGACACGACATTAATACAGAATCTGAAACTTACCACTTTTGTCACTGCATATTATAATTTACATTTACATAAATTTTAAATAAAAAAAGCAAATTATCCAAAGCAGATCATATGCAACATTCCTAAGCATTGAGTTTGGGATACCATTTTATTTGCCTTTTTTTTTTCAATAAAAACATTATAGAGTACTTAAGATAAATACCACGAACAGATCACATTAAGCCCCTATCTCACAAACACGATTTAAGAAATTGCCAACACGATTTAAGAAAATTTGAAAAATCGTGTTGATTCGTGCTCGACCTTGTGGTTTATGCAAATTTCTTAACAAAACACGACCCTCATACGACCAAAAACGACCCCCATACGATCTTCATAAGACTGAAAACGACACTCATACGACCGTCATAAGATATTCATACGATACAACACGATTTAACCTCATTTAACACGACCCCAATACGACTGTCATACGACCAAACACGACTGTCATACGACCAAACACGACGCCCATACGACTTAACACGAATCAACACGACCGACATACGATTACACCCGAATCATTACGATGTCCATACGACTACAAAAATAGACACGATCTCCATACGACTGAGCAAATCCTTTATACAACATATTTTTGTTTATTTTGGTCACGTGGGTCATGTAGTATATAAGCTGCATTGCAACAGCATTTCTGTGTCAGTCTTCACTGGCGATTTTGGTGGTGGTTCATAGGTTTCAGCTCACTCATCTTGTGCCGGGGTACCGGGTGGATGTTCATCCATGGTTGGTGGTGAAGGATGTTTCTCTTTCGAAGATTTTGCTTGGAGGAACTTCCATTTCGGCCGCCTGAGGTTTGGCATGGCTGTAGAATGAGCTTTCACTTTCAAGGGCTTTCCCACGTTCTCACTCAGTCACGTGATTAAAACCATATGAAGGCCGAATGAGTTTCTTCCCACGCTCCCCGACACGACTGAACACGATCTTCATACGACTGAACACGATCTTCATACGATTGAACACGACTGTCATACGACCTTCATACGACCTTCAAACGACTGAACACAACTTTTCACGTGTTACGATGTAAGCCGAGGTGCGACGTCCATACGACCGCGCGCGACCGACCACGACTTAACAAGAATGAACACGAATGACTGCGCGACCTTCATACGTTCTCACACGATTTAAAGAAAAACGTTAAATCGTGTTCATTCGTGTTCAGATTCGTAAATGTGAGATAGGGGCTTAAGTTTTTTTATTCATATACATACAATCAAACACGTTTCAAGTTCAATTCATACTACCTTCACCTGCCACCACACGCACGCACGATCACGCACGCACGATCACACACACACACACACACACACACACACACACACACACACACACACACACACACACACACACACACACATATATATATATATGAAATCACAAATTGGTGTGGCACCTGAGATGCTTTACCTGACAGCTTGATCTGAGATGCTTTACCTGACAGCTTGACCTACATTGGTCTGAACATCATATACTATATAACTATACATTTGTAATGGGAAGTTATTTTTATATTAAGAACATAAGTAATTATTTTGTAAGAAGTCATATTAAAATCCCATTAACAATTGAAGACAAATACGTCTTTAGTGAGTGAGTGTGTATGGTCTAACGTCGCTTTGAGCAATATTCCAGCATATCACTGTGCGGGAAACCAGAAATAGACTTCACACATTGTACCCATGTGGGGAATCGAACCCGTGTCCTCGGCGTGAAGCGCGAACGCTTTAACCACTAGGCTACCCTCCTACTCCCTACCCCTGCCCTTAAATACGTTTTTCATGGGATGAGGAGTATTAATAGTAACATGTTTTTTCCAAATATAATAAAAGTCAGCAGACCGTCGATTTCATGCCAATAAAAGTCAGCAGACCGTCGACTTCATGCCAACAAAACCCTTATACTATATATTTCTTTGATATATTAATGAATGTAGTATAGTTCAAGAAATCAACGGCTGTCCTGTCCAAATATAATTTCAATTATAAACGTGTTTATATCTAGTTGAGATATAATTATGTCCAAAACTACATGTGAGTGATAAACATGACGAAAAGTCAAAATGTGTATTATTTTGTCACCAGAGTTACACTATCCTGTTTTTTTTACTAATTTGCATAACGATCTTCAAACTTCGAAGGTGTTCTCTCATTTCTAAATCAAAATCCTTTTATGCAAAAAGCCCCTGTTAACCAAAGTTTTTGACAAGCCATCAAAGTTTTCGCGGGAATTATCTTGCCAAGATGGATGCTGCGGAGGAAGAATGTTTTGCTGTTGTTATCTGTATTTTATGAATTGTCATGTTGCGATGTCCGGGTAGGCAAAGCAATATATTGTCACCGGATTGGCTGCAGAGTCCAGTGCCTATGTCAGCTATCTAAGAATGAACAGGAAAACGTTCAGGTTACCTCTTGAAAAAGTGAGGCCCTACATTCAAAGGCAGGCCCATGGGGACCCGGGGTAGACAAGAATGTGTTCTCAGCATCCCATTGCTGGTCGTAAAAGGCGACCGACTTGCGCCCCTGCGTAGGCAGAAGAAGGGAGTCTGGTGGTTGAGACACCGGCTATAGTGTTCCTTAGTCCAACACACCACTTAACTTTGCCTAGACGGATGGGCCCGATCCTATCATTCGGCTGTTCATGCCAAGCCCTGTGCATAATATTGTTTGTACACACGTGTGATGTATTTTAATGTATATTTTGGTCTTGGCCATGTATCGCTTGTCAGAATTCGCCAATTATTGAGGATTAATTTGCCAAGAGTCTTATGCCAGGTGGTGGGTCATGGGCCAATCTGGTGATGTGGATCTCCGAGTAATGTATGTCTCCAATTTCTTGTCAAGGGCCGAACCAGTCTAGCTTTCAATTGTTGTCGTTTGCATACGTGAAAAATGTAAGACATCTTCGTTCTGGCTCTCTTCTTGTAGAATGTGTTAAGAAACAACAATCCCACAGGCTGTTATCGATCAGTCAACTCTGATCGACCCATGGCAACTGCACCTGCCTTCGACATCACCAATGTGACGCTCAGTCTTCACCAGCACCTTCAACTTCTCAGGCAGAGAGTCAGAATCCTCCTGATCCAGTCTTTGGGTAAGCTGCTACTGCAGCTGCCCATCTGACGAAAGTGGAAAGAAAAATGTTACGAAGAAAACAATCACTCAGGAATCTCTCTCTTTCAGAGGTACCTCTTCACAACTCCTATAGTGCTCTGGACATGGAAGTAGCTCCATCGTCACAGAGGTTTTCCTACTCGCGTTCGCGTGAGAGATTGCCTATTGAACCACCATGATTCATTCACCTACTATACTTCAATGGCACTGCAGAGGACGTAGACATATATTTAATGGCATTCAATTATTGATACAGGATTTTAAAGTGCTTGCCTTCAGTCTTCAGGAAACATATACTCAACAACAAAAGTTCCTGTGACATCATTGGTTTTCAATATTTAAGTCACAAAAACGCAACTGCTACAGAAAAAGATGCATTCCATGCCAAAGTTGACTTTTATACAAGCCCCATGCATTTCACTATGGGTATAAAAACATGTGCGTTAACGGGATTCCATATGCATTGTTTAGCATCGTGCTGACAACAACCACTAAGAAAAACAACAAAAGTACGCAATTATTCAACATTACGAAATGCCACGACTGTCCGAAAATGAGTGTCTGCGAGCCATTGGTATGCTTGAAGCAGGATCGAGTCAACGTGATGTAGCAAGACAATTTAACGTCCACAGAAACACCATTTGGTGTGTAGGGCAACGTTGGCAACAGACCAATACAGTCAGAGACCATCCTCGGAGTGGCAGGCCACGCGTAACCAATAATTGACAAGACAACTGGATTCGAACAACACACCTACGAAATCGATTCCAGCCAGCAACAGTGACTGCAAGAAGCATCCCTGGCCTTCGACGAATATCTTCACAGACCGTACGTCGCCGCCTCAGATGTGCAGGGATTGTCGCCAGAAAACCCGCCAGACGTGCCATTTTGACAGGAAACCACCGTCAAGCACGTCTACAGTGGTGCAGACAGCGTCTACGCTGGACGGCCATGCAGTGGGGACAAGTTCTATTCACTGACGAGTCTCGTTTTCACCTCAGCCACAGTGATGGACGGATTCGAGTGTACCGACGTCGAGGTGAACATTACGTCAATCATTGTGTCATGGAAGAAGACCGGTTTGGGGGCGGCAGCGTTGTGGTATATGGTGGCATTACAGCAGGACAGAGGACCCATTTGATGGTGGTAGAGGGAAATCTCAATGACAGGGGTACTGCGTTGAGATCGTCTGCCCTGTTGTTCTACTGTTTTTAGCGTCGTCATTGCCCAGGCATTACCTGTCATAATGACAACGCCCGGCCTCATATTGCTCGTTCAGGAATCTCTTCAACAAAACAACATGAATGTCATCCCCTGGCCAGCTCGCTCCCCATGTGGGATGAGATGGATCGGTGCCTTCGACATCAACCATGTGTTCCACAGACACTCCAGGAACTTCGAAACATGCTCCAGCAGATAGGGACGAATATCCCACAGGACTGTGCGACACTGTGCGACACCTGGTCCATTCCATGAGACAAAGATGTGTTGCTTGCCTCGCAACCAGAAGTGGACACACACCCTAAGATTTGTAAATTGACATTTTGGCATGTTCATGCTTTTTTTCATGAAATCAAGCATTTTCTGAAGTCAGTATGGCAAATTATACCATTTGAACACTTACAGGAGTCTTTCATCTGTTGCAAACCGAAATTGTTTCAGATTTGGTAAAAAACATAACTGAAAAGAAGACGAGGAAGTCCTCGGCAGTTATTCAGACCATTTAATGGCAGTTTGTTCATCCTCATAGTCATAGGTAAGGCATGGCAGTTTGTCAACACAC